GAGATTCCTGAATGTACACTGAATGGAGCAGCGTGCCCTGAGGAATAGTCTGAGGAAAGATGCAATTTGGGCAGATAGTATCAGTATTTAATTTGAGGTTGTTTGTTTTTGAGACAGATCTAGCTATGTTACCCAGGCTGGTCTAGAACTCCTGGGATCAAGTGATTCCCCCCTCTCGGCCTCCCAAGTAGCTGAAATTACAGGCTCGTGCCACTAATTTTTTTTTTTTTTTAACCTACAGTGATTCTGTTTACATAGCTATTTTTTTCCTGCTTTTCTTGTATGAGTGATCTCCTTAGACTGCCACAATTCTACCCATGTTGACTGGACAGTTACACTAATGTCAATGGAAGGGACATGAGATTAGCACTTTTTGTAGGGCATAAATTCATAATGAACTCTTCTAGAGAATACTTTCCTGTGTTATTTAAACACCACTATATTTCAGCAGGGCTTACTAAAACAACGTGCTCAACAAGGATCTTAATGCTCTTGCTTTTTTGTTAGGCTTGAAGATAATGATTTTCTCAGCAGTGATGTGGGGAGTGTTTTCCTTAGGTTTGAGAAAGGCCTCTCCATTGCTTTCTTTGGGTATCGATTTGTTTCTCAAAAGTGGCAGTATGACTTCTGTGTTGATGAGCAACTATTAGGTTCACATCTTATTATCTGACAGTAGGTTAATGCGAAAAATACTATATTGTGAAAAAGTATTTCACAATATTCTAACAGATGCTGCTAGTATAATAGCCTAATGTAACAAATGCACCAAATGTGCTCAAGCATGTTTTTGACACTGTTTTCATAAGTGATGATATATCCTAATTGAAACTTACTAAAATTGTTTTCTTCTCCAACTGTCATGAAAACATACCAAACTATGTGTTTTGTGTACCCATGATTTAAGAATATAAAATGTATATTCCTGTTGCCTTCCATTCTGTAGTCTAGAGTTAAAAATGTGAGATTTTAGCCTTCTAAATATTAGTCCAACAAGTTAGTTCAGGTCCCAGGTATGTATTAATTCTCCTTCACTAATTCTACAGCCAGTAGTAGGTTTTAAACTCCAAGATTCTTATAAAACATTTTTAAAAAATTTTTAACTACATTGTTATAGGGAATAGTGTGAGTCTTTTTTTTTTTTCTTTTCTTTCCTTTTTAATTCATGGAATGGATCTCTTTGGGAATCTTCAAAGAAAGTTCTGGATATTTATTTTTATCATTGTATGTTAGTGTATTATGTGTCTTTGTATCATGCAATTCTTGTCTTAAATCTTCTTTCTTGAGAAACCCAACACATACTAGAAAACGGTAAAAAATGCAAATGTACAACCCATTTATCATAAAACAAAACCCATGTAATTACCATCCAGGTCACGAAATGAAATGTTGTCTCAGTAACCCCAGAAACTCCCATCCTGCCTTCCCAATCACTGGTCTCTCCCACCTCCAGAGTTAGCCACAATTTTTACTTCATGTTAATTACTTTTTTTGCTTTTCTTTATAATTTTACCACCTATTAATACATTGGGAACATAATGGTTTATTCTGCCTGGTTTGAAGTTTTGATTTTGGGGTTTTTGGATTTTTGTTTTGTTTTTGTTTTTGTTACTTTATATAAATGGAATAATTATGCAGCTAGGTATCCTTTTGGGCCCAATATGTTTTACTCAAAATGATATTTGTAAATATAGTTATAACTGGGTTTCATTGCTGTATAGTATTCTATTGTGTGAACTCAGTACAATTTTTTTGTCCATTCTATTGTTTGTATCCCATATGAATAATGCTGCTGTGGACATTCTTTCATATGTTTCTTGATCAACATTGCACGTATTTCTTTTTTTTTTTTTTTTTTTGAGATGGAGTCTTGCTCTATCGTCAGGCTGGAGTGCAGTGGCACAATCTGGGCCCACTGCAGCTTCCACCTCCCAGATTCAAGCAGTTTTTCTGCCACAGCCTCCTGAGTAGGTGGGACTACGCCACCATGCCCGGCTAATTTTTGTATTTTTAGTAGAGATGGGGTTTCACCGTGTTGGCCAGGATGGTCTCGATCTCTTGACCTCATGATCCGACCACCTTGGCCTCCCAAAGTGCTGGGATGACAGGCGTGAGCCACACGTCTGGCCCATCGCACGTATTTCTGGTGGGTATATGTGAAGAAGTGGAATTGCCAGATCATAGGGTATGTGTATTTATAACATTTAAAAAATTGGGGCCAGGCACAGTGGCTCAAGCCTTTAATCTTAGCACTTGGGAGGCTGATGGGGGCGGATTGCCTGAACTCAGGAGTTTGATACCAACCTGGGCAACATGGTGAAGCCCCATCTCCACTAAAATACAAAAAATTAGCCGCATATGGTGGCATACACTTATAGTACCAACTACTTGGGAGGCTGAAGTAGGAGAATTGCTTGAACCCAGCAGGTGGAGGTTGCAGAGAGCTGGATAGTGCCATTGCTCCAGCCTGGGAGACAAAGCAAGACTCCATCTGTGTTAAAAAAAAAAAAAAAATGCATCTCTTCACATTTCCACAAGAGAACTGTGACAGTTCCCAGTGCTTTGTTCTCACCATATTTGGTATTTTGGTGTAGTATTACCTCATAGTTTGCATTCCCACTCCCCTGATTACTAATGAAGTCAAACAATTCAAAGAAACCTGCTGATATTTTTATTAGAATTGAATTTTATCTATAGATCAATTTGGAGAGAATGTTACAAAATTGAGCTTTCTAATACAGTAAACAGTTTATATAGTAGTTTTTTATTTCTCTCAGTGCTGTTCATAGTTTTCTGTATAGAGGCCTTGCATATTATTTATTTATTTCTAGGTATTTTATATTTAAATGCCATAATAAATGCTATTGTAATAAATTTTATTTTGTTTGCTTCTGATATATAGTAATGTATGGATTTCTAAATTTTACGTCTGTATACAACTGCAGTTCATCTGTAGATTTGTTCCTGTGTGCATAATTATGTAATCTGAACATAAGGACTTTTTTTTTTAATCTAGTTTGCTTTCAAATCATTATACTTTTTATTTCATTCTGTTGTCTTTAGTAAGGCTAGGATCTTCACTAGCTGGTATCTCCAGTACAGTGTTGACTAAAAGTAGTCAGTTGGCAATTTCGAAGGGGAAACTAACATTTTTTGCTGTTAATTATGATTTTGCACATTGCTAGATTTCATTTGCTAATAGCATATTTAGGATTTTTTAATCTAGATTCATGAATGAGAAAATCTTGTAATTTTTCTTTTTTATAATGCCCTTGTTAAATTTTGGTTTTAATGTTTTGCAAAATTCTTGAAGTTGAAGAGTGGTTTCTTTTTCTCTACTATGTGAAAGAGTTTGTGCAAGACTAACATTATTAATTAGAATTCATTAGTGAAGCCATCTGGGCCAGAGTTTCTTATTTTTGTTTTGTGTGTATATTTGGAAAGGCTTTTAATTACAAATTCAATTTCTTTAGTAAGACTTTCTGAACAGTCTTCCAGTGTCTCTTTTGGTTCGCAATAACTTTCTAGAAAGACATCTATTTCAGAGGCCCCCAACCCCCAGGCCGCAGACCAGTACCAGTCCCTGTGCTCTTAGGAATGGGGGCTGAACAGCAGGAGGTGAGCAGCAGTGAGCTAGTGAACCTTACCGCCTGAGCTCGGCCTCCTGTCAGATCAGTGACAGCATTACAGTCTCCTCTACACCTTGTCCATGGGAAAATTGTCTTCCGGGAAACTGGTTGCTGGTGCCAAAAAGGTTGGAGAGCGCTGGTATATTTCTTCCAAATGTAAAATTTATAAAAAGAAAGTTGTTCATCCTATCCTCTCATTTTTTCATGGTCTGTAAAATATGTAGTAATGTCTCCGTTTTCATTCCTGATAATTGTTATTTGTGCCTTCTTTTTTTCTTGATTGGACTCTCCAGAAGTTTATTCATTCTATTAGTCCTTTTAAATCACTTTTTAAAATATCATTTAGTTATCTGTGGGTTACTAAAAGTATATCTTTAATTTCCAAAAGATATATTTGATTCTCCTCTAGAACAGAATTTGGATTTCTAATCGATCAAAAAGCATAATGAATAATTTTCCTCATTTGAAATTATTTGCCTGAATTTTTTAAAAATTCTACTCTGTGCTTGGGAAAATTATATTTTGTAGTTATTAGGTATAATGTTCTGCATATGATCATTAGGTCAATTTTGCTTATTGTGATATTCCAATCTTCTACATCCTTAGAGTACTGATTTGTCTATCCATTAGGCCAGTTACTGAATGTGGTTGGTTATTGAGGGAAATGTACTTACGTCTCCAGTGATTATGGATGTCTCTTTTAGTTCTGGCCATTTTTGCTTTCTCTATTTTGAGTCCATGTTACCAAATGCGTCCAAATTTGGGATTCTTTTACTTTTTAGTGATTTCAATGTTTTATCATTATTCAGTACACTTCTTCATCTCTAGTAGTGATTATTGCCTTAAAGCTGACCCTGACTGATACTAATGCATCTACATCAACTTACTTGATTATTTTTTATGTGATATATTTTTCAACTTTTCTGTATCTCTGTGTTTTAGATGTTGGCTTATAAATAGCAGGTAATTTTGTTTATTTAAAGGCACAGTTAGGACATTTGATGAATTATTGAGTCTAAATCTTTGTTAGCATTTTAAGGTTGATAGTCTTTAAACAATAATTTTTTCATATTCAGAAAATAGTTTATTAACATCTATAAGTTTAAGAAATTTATTTCTCTGATTTACATATAAATATGCACGAAGTTATGAAATCTTCTCATTTCCTATTACTCCTTTGACTTTGATATAATGAAAAAAAATCCAGGGACTGAAATATGCTGAGGACAATAATTCTAATCTGGTGTTTGGTTTGGTTTACAACTCATCTTTATTGTGATTTACGTACCTAATCCAAATAATCATGGCATAACAGTATCTCTCTTAATATATCTCTCTTGCAAAATACTATAAAAGTTTTATTATTGATTATAGGGCTGTGACTCCCAAGTGAGCGTGTCAGAAGTGTCGTGTAGTGAAAGTACATCCTCATGTCAGTCTCTTGAACACGGCTCAGTTCCAGAAATTCTCATTGGCCTGCTTTATAATGCCACAACTGGAAGACTATCAGCAGAAGTGATAAAAGGTAGCCACTTCAAAAATTTGGCAGCAAACAGACCACCCAGTGAGTGAAACAAATTTTTTTATTCTAATGTTTTCTGCACTTTGGGACTCAGTGTTAGGCACTTCAATCCCATCGTTTAGTCTTAACCAATCAAAATGAAATGGTGTAATCATCAGCTAATCTGTTTCATGTTTTCTATTTCCAGTCATTTGGGAAGTAGAAAAATTTGAAATTCAAAGTATTGATTGTAAGGTGACAGACTTTTAATTCTTCATAGTGTCTGCGGAATAAATTATCTCCATCATAGCCATTAACTTTTAATGCCAGACAAGGTTATAGGGCCTTCAAAAGTGAGTAATGTTCACAAATATGAACAGGAATTGTATAGCTATTGTTGTTAACTGAAGTTTAATGTGTTTTCTGTCTGCATGCAGTACTATGAACTATTTTATTTACTTCTGTATTTTCCCCTCATTCTCCTTTAACAATTTAAGAAGAAACTGTTACTTTACATTTTTTTCTCCTTTAAAATTATAACGCAGTACTGCCAGCAGAGACTTTTCTTAGATGGAATGAGCTTTGCTTTTACCAGGACAAACAGAATAAGGAACAGTTTGCTGTTTGCCCTGGATGCTAAGAAGGGAAAGCTAGATGGTATACCTCTGCCCTGACTGTATGCGTGTTATGCCTGTTACTGTTCTCTCTCCAGATCTCTCTCCAAGTTTAGCAGGGCCAGGGTAGGTTATGGGAGAGTAGTGAAATTGTCACCCAATATACTTCTAAAATGTTGGTAAAGTAAGAGGTAAACTGGAAAAGTGGCAGCTTCTTTATACTTATCTAAAATTAAAGCTGTTATTGTCCTAAACTAAAAATTGAAAATAAATCTGAAATAATAACACCACCTTAAATTTTCTTAAAGAATTGTTACAGACTTGCTTAATGCAGTATTTTATTCCAAATAGCAAGTAATTATTATAGGAGAGGGCCAGGCACAGTACCTCACACCTGTAATTTCAGCATTTAGGAGGCTGAGGCTAGAGGATCACTTGAGCCCAGGATTTCGAGACCAGCCTGGAAAACAGACTCATTCTCTCAAAAAAAAAAAAAAAAAAAAAAAAAAATTAGCCAGGCATGGTGGCTTGAGCCTGTAGTCTCAGCTACTCAGGAGGATGAGGTGGAAGGATCACTTGAGCCCAGGAGGTCAAGGCTGCAGTGAGCCGAGATTGCACCACCGCACTCCAGCCTGGATGACAGAGCAAGACCCTGTCTTAAATAATTATAAGAATAATTAATTAAAATTAAAAAATAAAGGAAGGGTAGCTTTTTTTACCCTTAAAATAAATTAACTTTATTTCTAATTGTCACAAAAATTATTCAATGGAAGTAAAAAGTTATTAAAATATAGATACCTTCAATGATATATGCAAGAAGTAAAAAGTTATTAAAATATAGATACCTTCTATGATATACGTAAGAAGTAAAAAGTTATTAAAATATAGATACCTTCTATGATATATGTAAGAAGCAAGCTTTCCAATATTATTTGGAAACATATATATATATCATAGAAGGTATCTGTCTCTGAATTAAAAATCTGAAGGCTTAAATTAGTATTTCTACCCTTGGACAGATGACCTCACTCCCCTAAGTCTGTTTCTTTATAGATAAAAATTAAGGTCATGTCTCTCACAGGGTAATTGTGAGACTCAGATCAGACAAAGGTGCATAAAAGAGGGATGTAATTATTATTATTGTCCCCCTTCTCATTTCAGAAGGAGAAATTGAATGGGAGAAAAGAAACAATTCTAGAATAAACAGATTTGGTAGTGTGACTTGATCTTTATTAGTATAGACTTAAAATGCAAACTTAGAAGGCCTGGGAGATAATGAGTAAAACTCAAAGATGGGGAGATGATGAGGCCTGAGACAAATATGAGAGGGCACACCCTGCCGTAAGACACTCAGATTCAGATTGTCAGCACTGTGCGGGATAAATAGAACATGGTTCAGGGTCACATTGAGCCCCCAGGTATCAGTTTACCACTTGTGCTTTAGCTAATAATTTACTACACTTTTTTTGGCAAATATTTAGCTGGAGATGCTAAAAAATATAATGAAGTGGTATGTTTGCTTTTCTATCCTTAGTGTTGCTCTGATAGAGCAACATGAATCACAGCTAAAATGAAGGGAGGTGTGGCCAAGTACAGGGTTGGATAATAAACAGATGACAAAAGATTAGCATCCACAACATGGAGTCAATGTTTCAGGTTACAGAGTAGGTTACAGCAGTTGCCATTATTTTACCATTAGATCTTCAGTATAAAGGTAATTCTTGGTGTTAGGTGGGAGGTAACTAGCAAGTAAGTAGAAGTCAACATTTAAAGTAATTTTGTGAAAGTGGAATATTCATAAAGTAAAAGGTAAAACAGTTTTATCAGTTTATCCGAAACAGTATAAAGATTATAGCCCCACATAAATACCTAGGTTCTAAGCTTTGAACTATGTTATAGACTGAATAATCCTCATTTTTCCAAAGAAAGAGCAATATTTAAAAGCAAAAATTTAATTAGCCCTATTATGTTTTGCATAATTAATTTTTATATATTGGGAGTAATAAAAGTCTTTGAAAATTAAATGGTTAAGCTTTAAATTTAGCAATAATAATAAGCATAATTATTCTGATGGTTCTTATAAATACTCTTATTTAGTCTTTGTCTGATAATATGCATGATTCTATGTTCAATGTGCTTTAGACCAAGAGAATATCATTAAAAAGATGTCCCCCTTTTAAAAAGTGTAATTTTTGTTTAAGATTACACAATAACCTTAAAAATTCTCATCCCATGAAATTTACCCAACATCCCTTTTGTTCAGTCCTCTATCTGAATTAAAATGCTAAAGTTTTGTGTTCTTCCACTCCAGTGAACAGTGTTTCCTCTTTAATTCTAACCTTTGACCCTCTTTCACCCAACGATTGACATCTGGTCATTATTTCTTTTACTGCTTTCCACCCCCTGTTGTCAGATGGACTGTTCTGTTGTCTAAAACACTTGATAGGTGGACAGGTTTATATAATCCGAGGTGAGTTCCTGTAGAGGCTAATTGGATGTTGTCTTTTCATGCAAAACCAAAATACCCTAAAACTTGCCAGCAGTGAAGCTGTCCACCATGTTGGTTTCCAAAACAATGCACATTTATTATCTGTGGTACTTTAAATAAAACTAACTTAGAATTTATCTCTGATTATGGATGATGGTATTCAGAGCATATATGAAATAAGCAAAACTTTTTTAAATAAAAATTTTTATTTTTTCATTCATTTGTGCTTTGATTCATACAATAGAAATAGATATTTCATGATAAATATTGCAATTTTCTTTAAAATTAATTGAAATTTTGATATGAAGTACACATGATGGATCAACATGCTGAAGATCATTTGCATGAGTCTAAAAAACTTGAAAACACAGTCTTATAAAGAGAAGATTTGTCTCCCAAAGAATCAGGCAATGAACTGTTATGTTTCACTTTGTACACTAAACATCACATCAATTTTTTTGTAATTCATAAAAATAGTTAAGATATCATTCTTAAAATTTTACATTAAATTTGTGCCAAAAAACAATCCTGTAGTATTTTAACTATCCTGAAAGCACATTAAATGTACTCTTGCATGAAACCAGGAGAAAGTTTTACTTGGTTTGCTAAACTTTGAACCCTTAATGCATTTGGCTTCATTTTTGCCCTTTAATGTTTTAAAAGTATATTTAAAAACCACATCCATGCAGAGATTTTTTTTGACATTTCATCCTAAGCTGTTTTGATGTCATCTTTGCATTCTTGTCTTCCTCTTTTCCTCTTCACCATTTGCCTTCATTTCTATTTGTTTGTTTATTCTTATTCTCTGAAAACAGTGGAATGCTTTACAGTGTTGTGGCTAATTGAGCTTGCTAAGTGTTTATTAATGCTATGATGTTCTGCTTAGTGAAGCTAAATGGGAATGGTAATGGGCAGGGGAGGGTAGTGGGAGGTCAAGGATGGGGTGGGAGGGTAGAGGAAGGATTATGAGGTATACCTTTAAATTCTAACTATTACATAGAAATAGTAAGGTTAAGATATTATTACTCTCAAAATATTATTGGCCTACTTAGCATTTTCTGTGTTTGTCACATAAGCATCTACATCAAAATGGAATTGGTTGAATTTTCATTAAACATGGTATACACCATATCCTTTTAAAGTATACTTAATTTTCTTAGCCTATAAGAAAATCGTTTTGAGTTTGTTTCAAATGATATTTGTGATACGTTGTTTTTTTCTTCTTTAGATACATATGTTAAGTTAACTCTCCTGAATTCCATGGGTCAGGAGATGTCCAAATGCAAGACATCCATCCGCAGAGGGCAGCCAAATCCAGTATACAAGGAAACTTTTGTTTTTCAAGTGGCCCTGTTTCAGCTTTCTGATGTGACACTCATACTGTCTGTGTATAACAAACGCAGCATGAAAAGAAAAGAGATGATAGGCTGGATTTCTCTAGGTCTAAACAGCTCTGGAGAAGAAGAACTCAATCACTGGATTGAAATGAAAGAGTCAAAGGGACAGCAAGTATGTAGATGGCATGCGTTGCTAGAGTCGTGATGAATAGAATTAAGCAAGCAGTCACCATCCAAGGCAGCATATTTCCAGTTACAACATTACTGTTTCTACCAAGTCACCATTAGAAGAGCTGTTCTATGAAGAATCATATTCAACCTTCTACCAAAATGCTTTAAGTTCTATGGAAAGAATATCTAATACTGACATAAATGAAGAAAATATATGTATCCGGTAGAGCTTGTTTGGGAAACTGAGAAACATACATTATCATTGCTAAACTAACAGTCCTCTGGAAATTTAACAAGGTGTTTTTGATTTGAAGTTAATTTTAATTTTGCAAGAGCCAGTAAGTTTATGAAAAATCAAAATTGTAAGTGATTTTAAAAACCAGAATTTTAGTTGCAATACGATTTTAAAATCATCCTACATATTATTTATAAAACATAGTTTGACTGGCCAGTCCCTGGTGATTGTAATGTTCTTTAATATGAAAAAGTAGTTCTCCAACTCTATCATACGTCATATGTAATGGTGAAGGGTTTCAGTCACATTGAAAATTGCTTTATTTCAGACATGTTCCCTTTGTGCACTTAGTTTCATTGTGCCTCAGATCCTCTCAGCACTAAATCTAAGTGCAAACAAGTATTCATTTTCATACAGGAATGTTTTTAATACATTATTTTTTTAAAAGTTCATTTTTCATTTGCCTCTGCTTTTGCCTGATCCAAAGAGACCAAGTCACTGTACTGGTCCCTTGCAAGTCTTTTAGACAGGTTGTACTGTAGAACTACGTAACTTTCTGTTGAAAGCACTTCCTGTATTCTTGTATTCCAATGTAGGAAGCTAATAGAGCAGGACTTTACTTTAAAATATCTTTCAGTGATTGACTCTTCAAAATTGCAGTAAGTTTGAAAATACTTTTTTTACAAACTGAAAATACAATAGGTAAGCTGTTGAAAATGGAAAACAGTTCAATTTTAATTTTCTGCTCTGAGTATTTAGTAACCGACACTGCGTAAAGCAGGTAGCATCCAAAATCAGAAACTGTTCTTTCTCTAAATCTTCACTCTTACTTCAACTTGTATTTGTGATGTAAAGACTATCCAGTTCTCAGTTTGAATCGGAACATCATGTTAAAACAGTTCTGAGATTCCTTATGACGTTTCTAATAACTTGTGACTAGACTTTATGAAATTTACAGATAAAAGTTCTTCAACGTGATGTCATCTTGTGCCTTTCATGTAAGTTGAATTTGCTCATACAGCTTGCAAGTTGTATTTGCAAAATTAAGCCTTCGATTTTTATAAATGTAAAGATTCCTCAGAACAGTGTCGCAAGATCTTTATTTCCTCTGAAGTATGTAAAACTTGTATCATGTGCTAATTTTTTTAATGGCAAGGCACTTTCATTTGTTTGTATATTTAGGAACTCTAATCAGGAATATTATAAGCTGTTTTCTTTTTAATTTTGCTTCTTACCTGTCATTTTATGCATATACTTTATTAATGTTTTATATATATTAAAAATAGTTTCTTTTTTCTCCTTCTCATTTCTAGTTAATATAGACAAAAACATACTATTTACCAGTTACTAAAAAGCAGTATATCATTGCTCCTAGTCCCAACTAAGTACTATATATTATTGTAAACTAGAACTTATTACCATAATAACAAAACAATGCATAGATATTACTCAGCTTGGCTGTACTGAAAGGCCTTAAAAGAACTCCAAAAAGACCATGAACTCCTATCTTTTTTAGTTTAAAAAATGGCAGCTCTATGCATTCATACACATGAATTATAAGAAAAAATACAAATGCTATATTGAATGACATGAGGTTTAAGAATGTATGTTATAGGGCTGCATTAAAGGGAAAAGTCCATCTTTTGTTGTTACATCAACGAGCTTTTACCAGGATTTTTTAAATAAACAAGTAAGAGTTAGAACCTGAATCAAATGGCAAAATATCTCATTTAAGTGTTTTCAGCAACAGTGTGGAAAGACTTGAAGAGGGGATATAGATTTTACTGAGAAATTGGACTTAGGCATTTGAAGCTACAGTGATCTTTTTTGCCTTTGAAAGAACTGACTCCATTGCTAACAACTGTTACCTGCCTAATAAAAAGTTACCAGTCTTATTTGTAACTGTTACAGAGCTTAGTGAAACACGTTAGTAAGACCAGCTTGGTGCTTTCACTCTTAGTGAGAAAAAGACTCAACTAATTGTTATTTGTTAAATCTACCTTTTTTCAGACTATGCCCAGAATTGTGTGTGTGATTTGATATATCCATAGGGAATTATCTGGTATAAGTATCAAATCCTTCATAGGCTAAAAATTAATCAACAATTTTTTAGTATTTCAGAAAAGACCCTACCTCCACCTCAGCTGCCAAGTCCTCAAAGAGTCTAAATTCTCTATATGGGTGTGTAACTGTATACACACATGCACCTACATACATGCAACATAAATATGTATAGGTGTATTCATTTGTAAAGGTAAAGGTGCCCTGGCTTTTTCAGATAACTGAATGGAAAAACATTTCAAAGTTTATGATTATTTTTCTCCTCTGTGAATAGAATATTTACCAGATATTATATTTGGTTTGGGGTGCTTTCTGCTGCTGTTCTTCATACACACCAAAATATACATTTGTTTTTGTAGATTGACACAACTTATAGTAATTACTCCCAAAAATGTGTCTGTTCTTTTAGAAAAGGATTAAGTAAGGCTCAGAGGACCCACTTCAGTCTACTGAATCTAATGTACAGGACAGTGCTGCTGCTTTTTTGTGTGCTTGAATTTGCATGAAAGCTTAACAGCAAAGTCTTCTATCTCAGTAATTATAGTAAATAGGGACACACTGGTAGGGAGCTGATGTTGGCTCAGAAACTTGAAAAAGACAGCCCACTTTCATATAGTTCCGTTAAAATTCCCCAAGTTTTCTAATAAAATGATATAGTCCCAATATGGCAATTGACTGCCATTTATGGGAGCCTCTGAACCTGGAATTATGGGCTTTATTTGTCTCCCAAATGAGCTGCAAAAGATAGTTATTGCTGCCCAGGAAACAAAAATGTATGTCAAATAAGTAAAGAATTTGTTTAGTATAATATTGTCTTATCTTTCAGAAGCTTTCTTCTATATTCTTGTGTTTTTGGTACAATCCACATTTTGTTTGAAATATATTTGCATATTATCTTACTGTGCATTTAGTGAATTGTCAATATTGTATTTGCTAACAAGAATAATGAATTGGACCACAATTTTAAAAAAGAAAACCCAATGAGAAAACATCTAAACTGTAGGGACTGGTAAGGCAGTTTCATCAACCTAGTGAAGAGGCCCAGGGCTGTATGTTAAGTCATTTGCCTGATACCATCATCATTTTTATTTCACTTATCAACTGAACCAGAAACATAATAACTGCAAAGTAAGGTAGTATCAGTAGGGGAAAAAGGGGAAAGAATTGAGAGTGTTTGTCAATATGAAGATGAGTGGAGAGACTGAATGATACCATAGTCTTTCCAATGAAAGAAAAAGTAGGCTATCTGAACATGTAAATTTTCGATGGAGCAAGGAGAGTAGTCACCAACAAATATTTTTCAAGATCCCTATCCAGATATGGATAGAAAAGACACAAATTCATTTGCATAAAATTGCCATTTTACATAGACTAGACAATTCATAGAGATTTTTCACATTGACATATGCTATATTATGTATATAGTTGTTCCAGTTGTCACTATATTATTTCACATTGATAGTTTTTATTTCCAATTTTTTTTCCCATTCACTGTCCCCAGTTCATCTCTGACCTACATTGAAGGTAGCTGTTGGTATTATAACCAACCAAACTTAATATTGAATACAAGTTTAAGCATGCTGCAAAGCATTACTAAGGTTAATTTTAAAACATCGTCTCTGCCCTCCACAGTGATGGTAACAGCTATAATTTACTAAGATCTAGCACAGTAATTTATTTGCTTGATTCTCAAAACAATGTCATGAGGTAAGTAATATTATCAACATTTTATTGATAAAGAAACTACAGCGTGAAGAGGTTAAGGGAACTTTACCAAGGTCATTCAATAAGTAAGTAGTAGAACTGGGGTTGGAACTCAGGTGTAAATTATTCTAAAACCCATGCTATCTATGCATGTTGCATTTGCCTCCCTGCTTGAAAAAAAAAAAAAAAAACTACTTAGGACATTATATTTATTAATAATCCCACTCACCTTGATTGAATGGCAGAACTAGGGGGGCAAAACAGCTGGGAAAAGAGAAAAGAAGATCAGAATTTTTTCTTCTTCTCAGGACACAAATGGTGGTACTTTTGTGTCATTTTGTAGATGACTTTGATTTTCAAAGATTTGGAATTGATTTATTCTGCCAGGTTAGCCTATGCTTACATCGTGAAACTATATTAATCAGTTTGTTCTGCTCTTTAACCAATTTTGGGAATCCAAGGTGTTTTAGTTATTACGTGACCCCCTTACTACTCTATGAAGGGCATAACCTATGTGTCTAGCCCGTATCTCACTAGTATCAGTGGTAAGACAAAAGATTTGTCTTCTGTCCTCTTATTGCAATTTATTTATGTTTCTTTTATTCTCAATTTCATTAAGGTTTGTCAGGAATCATAGCTAGTTTTCTTATTACCATATGTCTCTCTCCCCCAGGTAAGTACTCAGTGCCTTGTTAGTATCTTTCTGTACCCTTTTGCTCGTAGTAGGCAGACAATAAATATCGAACTAAATTCCTTATGGAAGAAATCAGTCACACTATTATATGAGTCTTAGTTTTTATGAATCTTGTGTTATGCATGGATTTATTTATTCCTTTAGTTAATATGTATTTAAGAGTACCAGATATATGCCGTGTGTTGTTGTTCCAAGTGCTGCAGATGCAGAGATAATAAATTGATCAAAGTCTTTGCCCTCATGGGACTACATTCTAAGGTAGGAAGATAGCCACAGAATGGGATAATTTCAGTCTAGTATAATGAAGCATTAAGATAGAGGCATGCATAGAGTACTGTGGGATTTAATAGAAGAATGCAACGTGGAATTCAAAAAAATCTTCCTGGAAAAGATAACCCCTAAGTTGGGTCTTAAAGAACAAATACACGTTAGATTCCCATCAAACTTGAGGACACATGTTCTTTCCAAGAACAAAATATAAAATAATGGTTTCTAAACTGTAATATCCTTAAGAATTATTTTGAAATTTTAACTTGGGCCAGGCGTGGTGGCTTACACCTGTAATCCCAACACTTTGGGAGGCTGAGGTAGGTGGATTACTTGAGCTCAAGAGTTTAAGACCAGCCTGGGCAACATAGCAAAACCCATCTCTACCAGAAATTTAAAAAATTAGCTGAATGTGGTGGTGCCAGTGGTCCCAGCTACTCAGGAGGCTTAGGTAGGAGAATCACTGGAGCCTGAGAAGTCAAGGTTGCATTGATCCAAGAAAGCGCCACTGCACGCCAGCCTGGGTGACAGAGCGAGCCCTTGTAGAAAAGAAGGAAGGAAGGAGGGAGAGAGGAAGGAAAAGTAGAAGAACGGAAGGAAAGAAGGAGAAGGGAAGGAAGGGAGGAAAATTTAACTTGTATTCCAAAACTCTACCTCCAGAGATTCTACTTCATTTGGTCTGGAAGGGACCTCAATAATCTCCATTTTATTAAGCTCTCCAGGAAATTCTGTCTGAGATCTGCTGATACAGAAATTAAGTGTATTACATAGCATTATTCATGAAATGTTTCAGTGCCTGTAGATCAGACCTTTTAAGTGTGATAGTGATAGTAAGAGAGATGAAAACGAGGATTAATGTTACTGATCTTTTCCTCATGCTTGGAAAATATTTAATGAAAGAAATTAATATTTAATAATGAGTTTCTGTACATTCACATTCAACATACATTTTTCAAAGTGTTTCTTGCTATAATAAATATGTTGATTTTATGATTTCTGAAAATTCCATTGTTTAAATATTCTAAGTTACCTTTAGAATGCTAGATTAAAAGCGAAGAGTGTCTGGGGAGGTATTTAGTAATTTCCCTATCAGTATCGTCAATGAAATAAGACTGACCTTTGAGCAAATGTATAGTAGCAGCCATAGGTGCTGGCATTTTTGCATTCTTGTATACAGTAAGATTTCCTGCTTCCCTTTATCGTCATCTAAATGGCTTCATTGTCATTATACTCATCAGATGAACTGTGTCCCGGATTCTTCCCTAACAGCAGCGTTTCTGTGACTGCTGCTCCAAACTAGTTCCTTGGTTGTTTTGTTCTTAGGATCCTTTATTTCAAATAGCAAGTTAATGCAGCAGCCTCAGGACCTTCTCTTTCTCTCAGATTAAATGCTGTGAATAAGGTACATCTGAGTTTCCATTTCCCCTCATTCCAAATGTAGCCATATTTCCTTCTCTGATGTAGTATTTTGTATGAACACATTTTACATTTTGAAGTTTTCTTTTCCCCCACAGAGATCTGTAATTACCCACTGAAAAATGAGCTTATTTGAATATGTGAAACAATGTTGTCCTGGAATTAGGCTGTTTTGTGACTGCTGATGGATCACTGTGTTTGATCAGGTGATAGCTTGAGGCCTGGTTAATATAATCTTAAGGTAATACAGCTTGATAGGCTGGAATTAATAGTTTATCATCAAAAAATGAATGTAAAAATATTGCTCTTTTCTCTCCCTGTTTAGACTAGTATGTGCCTTTAAAAAAATATTTCCTCTTTCTTCCTCCCTGCCTTTATTCCCACTCTTATTATATACTCAAACCAGATACCAGAGTTAGTTCACCAAAGCTGAATAATATCTACCAAAAAGTGATACCCTGACTTTTTTCTCTTAACTGCCTGGACTGGACACTAGGCAGGACCAGAGAGGCTTTCTTGGGTACTACAGAAGGAGCAAAGTATAATACTCTAATCATAGCATGTTTGTTGTTGCTGTTTCGGTGGTGGTGGTGGTTGTATGCTTGAATAGTGTGAAGTACCCTAAAATTATGTTGTATGGGCTGGGAGCAGGAAGGAAACTGGTTATTAATCTAACAAAAGTTTGGCATCATTTTGTTGTAAAATTCAACAGCTTATAACTGAAAATTTCTAATTAATTATAAGAACCAAGTCATTGCTGTGGCAATAATTGTGCAAGATGTTTGACATTATTTCTGTCACTGTCATAATCTGTCCTATAAATTGTCGTATTAGGATCCTTCTTCAACCCTCTTCTTTATTATTCTGATTATCAGTAAATCCAGTTTGTACTGTTAGACATTTGAGTTTCTCTTTTAAGTATTCATTCAACACTATTTTAAAAAGAAAAACCTTAACATCTTTCTGTTTATTACATTAACGTGATCTCTGACCTGACAGTGTGTTTAAAATGAATTAATAGATAAAATATAATACTCTTATATACTGAAAAAAATAATTTTTCAAAATTTGTGTATTCAGATATGGCTGGCAGTTCATATTAAATATGACTATTTTGTTTAATGAGAAAATAGGAACTTTTCCTTATCTCTAAGACTTACTGCTTCTCTTTGCCATTCACATCTGGTTGAAAGTGGATGATTGTGAACCTCTTAATGTCACTTCATCTGTCAGTTTCTAAGTATGCTAACCTCCTCCTGATGGTTTAATTTTCAGTTACGATCAAACCATTTACCTCAGGGGTTGATCCTTGTAGTGATTCCTGTTCATAACCCCATTAATGTGGATGGAAGTAATTCATAAGCACCAGTAGGAGAGAAGGCCCATAGAGGATCAGTATCCTAGAACCCTGAAATAGGACGGCTGCTTCAGTACCCAATGTCATTGCAATTCCAATTTGTGGAAGTGAGGATCTGAGATCATGATGTCGTATTCTCCCATTTCAGTCTCATCCCTTCTCCCTCTAGCTTGCACATTCTTTTTATTTTAAATTTTGCGAGAAGGCTTCTTTCAAAGACCTGGTTTTTAAAATTTCACATGTTGCTTTAACCAGGCAATTTCAAAAAATAGAAAACTGAAGTAAATACTATAGAGTCGAAAGAGGTTTGGGGGCTTTTTTGTTTGGAGTTTTGTTTGTTTGTTTGTTTGTTTGTTTAGTGTGGAGAGTGGGGAGGAGGAAAAGGGAGGAATCATGCTTGTTTTGGTTTTGTGAAGTCTTCTTGGGAAAATATTGAGAATATTTATAGTATTCTGTAATTATGTGACATTTGTTGTGTGAGGGGAGACCAGAGTAGCTGTTGCACATAAACTGACTCTCTTAATATTTAAGCACATTTAAACAGTTGTTTGAAACACAGCTAGAAATTAATGGTGATACTTCCAACAGCATTTTGATGTTATAAATATTATTTTAAGATTATCAAGTGAAAAATTCCAGGAGTAGCTTGCATTATGGAATTAATTGATTTTTTATGTTTTTGCATAATTTTATTGAGATTGCTTTTGTTTTTGTGGTGAAAATAATATAGTGGCAACAATTTTGAGGAATCTTTAAAGCTGTTTGGAAGAGACGGCTAAACTTTGGCTAGATTTTTACTAGAATTTTGAAACAAGAAAGTGTATAAATATGTTTTCAGTTAAATTAGTCTTGAGGAAGAATAGTTATATGAGTTTTAAGGATCTTGATAAATGTTGGGATCTATTCTAAAACTCATGAGATTCCTCACTGATCAGTACGCTTGCATTGTATTTTATTTCTCAAAATAATGAAATTTTTATGGAAAAGCTCAATTAGTGGAATCTTGTATTCAATATTCCCTTTTTCTTCTTTCTTCCTTCTTTCTTTTCTTCCTTTCTTCCTCCTTCTTTTGTTTTTCTTCAGGCAAGAAGCTTCCTTAATAATATAGTTTCTACAGAGCTTTCTTACTTATTTTTCTAATAATGGATATAACCATGTGATAAAATTTAAATGCTCCATGAGCAAAACACTTATCAAACAACTGAGGAAATACATTGCGGATTAACCTTTTCTTTGGTCTTGAATTGTCTCCAGCATATTTGCTAGTGACTCTAAACTGTTAATGGATCTTATTAATATAAACAAGTGTCTGTGTGGTTATCAACAGTGTGGTATTATTGTCACATTTATTTACATTTTTGGTCAAAAATATAAACAGATGTGTGTGTGAAGCAGTCTGTTTTATAGAGTGAGCATGTATCTAATCATTTTCATGTTATTGAGAATGTGCTGTGTGTTGCATTTTATTCTCATATCGACTTTTCTACTATCTATACACCGATTGTCTCGGTGCCTTTTTCCTTTTGTATAATTGTATTACACACAGAAATTGCCGACCTCTGTGAAAACAGTGTAAAAAAATGTTAAAATTATTATTCCAATGAGATTTTAATGGCAACTTAATTTTCCAGAGAATAAATTTTGTGTGGGTTAAAAGTTACCTTTCTTCACCTTTATGTAAGAAATCTGTTCACATTTTAGTACTCACGTGGAATGGCTAAACATCTGACTTCATTGATAATGATGCATAAGCATCAGTCCTAATTCTTGTCATTGACAAATAAATGTTAACATGACTGTTACACAAAATAAAATAGTGTCAGTTACATAAGGAAATATTGAATGGATATATGTAAATGTTTTTCAGATCTTGGGTTTGAAAGGGATCTCATCTAAATGTGCTATAAAATATTGCTCTCGAAATGTTTGGGTCATAGTATTTAATTGTAAGTCAAACCTGGCTTCCAAAGAAAATAGACTTACAAATTCAGACATTTAAAAATAATATCCTTTAAAGTTCATATAAATCACAAATTAAACTAAGTAGCTTTAAAATGGTCTATTTTCAGCTGGAATATGAACTGTTACCTAGCTTATTCTTTCATTTAATGTGAATTTGTTGTTATTCACATCAGTATTGCTATCTTGTTTAGCAAAATAATTTTCTCTTTGGCAATAGTAGCTTGTTGATTTTTAATTCTCTTTTGTTAGATAGTTGTATTATTTCCCAAAGACCTTGAGTTTAGATATTTTTTATATCTCATTACCGTGTCCATTTTACTTCCAGCAACAAAGATTTATAACAACAGACTTCACAAGTACTATTTTGCATATGAAAAAGAATTTAAACATTTGGTGCTCTAAAACTGACAGAAATTAAAATTGCTACATCATCTAATCTCTGATTGTCTTTGAATCCTTAGTTCCATAAATTATCCAGAACCTTTTTTAGTTAACATTTTTAAAGAGGGGAACACCAGTGCCCAATTGGCCTGGTTGAGCTTTTTCTTTTTTGTTTTTGTAAAGTTGTCTCTACTGAAATATAATGAAAACATGAAACACTTCTGCTCAGAATAAATGGGTTAATAATGTAATCTCCAAACTACAATGTAAGGAGTTTGTATCCTTTCCCAGTACTAACTGCTGGATTATTCACCCGCTCTCAAACATTTTGGGCTTCTCTTAAGACATTTAAGGTTAAAGAAGCAAAAGTAACGGATTTCCTTGAGTGTTGACAAAATTTTCTGAATTATAAGTAATATCTTAGGGATAATTTATTATTTAATACTTTGAAAAAATTCTTTTCATTTGGGTCATGGCTTATTGTCTTTTAGAGAATTACAATTAATATGAAGAGAAATCCCAGCAGAAAATTGGTATATCTGCATTCTGGCTAACAAATCATTATCATTTTCTATTGTTATAAATTGATTTAGTAGTTATTATAGGTTACTATACTTAAGATATGTTTTTTGTTGTTTTTCACTTTTTTTAAGCCAAAACCTCACCAAAGATTATATTTTAATTGCAAATTGATTATAACTCCTTTGATCTCCGATATGCAAAATAATATTTAAGTCAGCTTTTCTTTCCATAGATTATCAAATATTCCATGATGTTTCCCATTTGAAAATAAAGTCATTCCCAATTTTAAAATAAATGGTCTCAGTAGAGGTATATATGGAATATTTTATTAGTAATTTATAATGAATCAAAAATATAACACACTACATGTTTCCATGAAATTAAATGCCAAATAAATTGGGACAAATTGTGTAAGGATCTCATAAACTTATATTGATTAATAAGAGAAAAAAATGAAAGCATCTACTCAGCATAAAGAAAATGTATCTAAAGGAAAACCGTCCAAACAATACTTATAATATGTGGTAGAAACAGCCAATTCTTCACCAAAACCCATGTTTTTCTCTTTTTCTTGGTCATATGGCTAGCTTACATTTCTTACCTTCCCCTGAAATTAGGCATGGCCATGTGACTGAGTTCTTGCCAATTGAGTGTGACCAAAGATGATGTGTACCAATTTCTAGATGGTACTTTTTTTTTTTTTTTTTTGAGACAGGGTCTTGCTCTTTTGCCCAGGCTGGGGTGCAGTGGCATGATCACAGCTCACTGCAGCTTCAACATCCCAAATTCAAGCAATCCTCCTACCTCAGCCTCTCCAATAGCTGGGACTACTGGAGTATACCACCATGCTTGGCTAATATTTTTATTTTTTGTAGAGACAGGGTCTCACTATGGTGTCCAAGCTGGTCCTGAACTCTTGGGCTCAAGCTATGTGCCTGCCTTGGCCTTCCAAAATGCTGGGATTACAGGTGTGAGCCACCACGCCCAACCTAGGAGGCTTTTTAAGAATCAAATGTGGCCAGGCATGGTGGCACATGCCTGTAACCTCAGTTATGTCGGAGACTGAAATAGGAGGATCACTTGAACTCATGATGTAGAGGTACTAATGAGCTGAGATCGTGCCATTGGCATGATCCAGCCTAGGCAATAGAGGGAGTTCCTGTCTTCTTTCACTTTCCACTGGTTGGGATACTGAGAAAACTGAAAGCTTTCGGGAATGCCCCAACTTGGAGAGATTCTAGGTCACTGAGTCACTTCACAGAAAACTGACAATCAGGTATGTATGCCTCAAAATGACAGCATAAATAAGGGAAAATCTTATATTCTGTTTGAGCCATTGCATATTTTGGAGTACATCTGTTACTGCAAACAACCAAAACTAAAAAAACGATATCTTTCCGTGGGGTTCTGTGAGAATGAAAACCTAAAATATTTTACATCAGCTTAGCAGTCCAGCAACCAATGGTGAGGAAATAAATATAGCAGCCGGGAAGCCTGTAGCTGTATTTCGAAGTGGCAAAGCATGGATAAACCGTTTCCTGTATACTAAAGGTGGTCCGTGTGATTACTGAAACTGTAGTTCAGGGGAAATGGATGGAAAGAGCCAGAGGAGCGGTGTGTTTGAGAGTTCCTTGCTAAAATGTTTCATGAGAAAGCAGTAAACTCAGGCAGGAGTTACATGGATTTCACAGAGATTGAAGGGAATGGAAAAGAGTTCTGAGAGGAGGTGCCTTGGGTTGAAAAAGTCTACTGCTTCTGGACCCCAAGTATTAGGAAATTGAAAAAAGTATTGAATAAGAAAAGCCCGTGGAGATTGCTCAACTAAACATGAGAACTCAACCTCATGGCAAAGATCAGAATTGTTTGTGTTGCCTCCCGTTTCAGAGGGACTCCAAGCAAACTTTTATCCTCACGAAGCAAGGTATGAGAGTTGTGTGGCTTCCAGGAAGGAAACAGTTCTCAATACCTACTTCAAATGAGACCATAGCGTGTTACATGTTACAGTCTTCTGACTTCTCAGAAGTCAGAGCAGGGGACCACTGAGAATAATGAATAAGTGAGTTCCTCTTAGAAAATAGGTGGAGTCAAATAAAAAACTGCCTGTAGGCCAGGCATGGTGGCTCACACCTAAAATCCCAGCACTCTGGGAGGCTGGATGGAGAAGAGGGATGCCAGGAGTTAGAGACCAGCTTGGGCAACATAGGGAGACCCAACCTTTACCAATAAATAAATAAATAAGCTGGGCAAGATGGCGTACGTGGGTAGTCCCAGCTACTCAGGTTAAAGTAGGGGGATGACTTGAACCCAGGAGTTCAAAGCTGCAGTGAGCTATGATCGTATCACTGCACTCTTGCACTCCAGCATGAGTGACAGAGTAAGACCCTGTCTCTACAAAACAGGAAACAAAAAGAAACGTTTAAAAACTGCCTCTACTGAGAGAATTGGGAGCAAGGGTTTCACTGCTGTGAATCAATGACTGCTGTAGATTCTCATTCTTCCCTTTTTCAAACGGAAATTTTAATGTCAGTTATCTTCTTCCTGCTCTGCATTGTGTACTTGGTGGAAGTTGGTGGGGCGGGGTGGGGAAGATATCTTTAACTTCCCAGGTCACTGGACTTGATGGAAAGGAGCGTGTATCACCAGAGACAGAGGACATGGAGAAGACTGCAATAATTGGATGGTACTTGAGGTGATCTTCCTTAGGGAGAAAGTAAGCTGAGTAACTAAAGCTTTGTTCTCTTCCTGGACACACACTAGGCTACATTTCCCAGCCTCTCTTGCAAGTATCTGTGGCTATGTGACTGAGTCCTAGCCAACTGGAATGTGAATGGGAGTGATATGTACCATTTCTAGGCCCATTACCTCCATAGTCTTTCTCCCCATCCATTAGCTGGTTACAGAAGATGGCAAGTATGCTAAGTGATGGTGAAAGTCACAGATGAAAGGAGCCTGGGTCCTTCATTCACCACTTGAAGGTCATCTACCCATCAACCGGTAATATCTTATGCAGAGTGTTACATGAGAAAGAAAAACTTCTGTTGTGTACTTGAGCTGTTATTCATTTGAGGTCTATTTTATTCCTGCAGCACTACCATACAATAATAGGTAGACTCATAGCAACTGAGGAAAATCTAGGTAGCACTGTAGCAAAAAAAACAAAGGTATCAAACGATATCCCAAAAAGCAAGGTCTAACATCTCATCGTGGGGGGGCAAAAAACAAAGAATAAGGTAAGTCTCCAAAACACTGCCTGCCAACAGTACTGGGAGGAGTTATTTTAGGAATGGATGGTAAGGCTTTTAGAGAGATTAAAAATGCGTAACTCTCCAGCTTCATTAAACTACAAGAAATGAGTTTAACTGTGATCCAAAGGATGGAATGAAGTGATAGGTGAAAAGCCAGAGGAACACCTAAAACCTGAGAATCAAACCTAGAGACATAACTGAAGCAGTAAGAATGTTGGAGGAATATATTAGTAGGGTAAAGAGAGGAAGAAATCAAGCAGTGAATCAGAGTTAAGGCAAGGACACCAGAAATCTCATGAGGGACAAATGAAAACCAGATTGTCAAAATCCTTGAATCCAGGTAGAGATTTGTATACTTAACCCCATAAGGTTTAGAGTAGAAGGGTAGTTAAATAGGGGATAAGAATCAGAAAGAGAGCCATTGGAAACTCTTTTTTTTTTTCTTTAATTGAGACGGAGTCTCACTCTGCCGCCCAGGCTGGAGTGCAGTGACGTGATGTTGCCTCACTGCAACCTCTGCCTCCCAGGTTCAAGCAATTCTCCTGCCTCAGTCTCCCAAGTAGCTGGGATTACAGGCACCCACCACCATGTCCAGCTAATTTTTGAATTTTTAGTAGAGATGGGGTTTGGCCATGTTAGCCAGGCTGGCCTTGGACTCCTGACCTCAGGTGATCTGCCCACCTCAGCCTCTCAAAGTACTAGGATTACAGGTGTGAGCCACTGCACCCGGCTGGAAGCTATTTTTTTTTAAATTCAGATGTTTAAAATCGTAAGTGACTAGATATAAGGTAATACTAGTAACCTAGATCATGTGAACAGCAAATTTTTTTTCTTTAATGAGATGAGTGGGAGAGACATTGTAAAGGAAGTGTTCTGAGAATTGATGACCAATTCAATGAGGAGTCATCCAAAGGACTGGAATGCCCAAGTCACAGGAATCAAGAGCTGACATCCTCTCACTAGAGTATACGTTCCCCAATGGCAGAAACTTTTCTCAACTGTGTTCCCAGTGCCTGAGCAATATTGAAGGCATAAAATGAATTAATATTAATGAATCTTTATTTCTGATGGAGTTTGGGACACTGGGAAGTTTGAGGGGGCTTCAGGGTTGTTTTTGGGGGTGTCTTTTTAGGCAGCCAAGTAGAATCAACCAAGAAAGGTTAGATTACATTTAAGGTGCATTATTTGCTAAGACAAGAAAAAATATACAAATATATATTAGAAATATATTCAATAATACCTGAGATGAAAAGAATACTTGTTCAACAAAAAGAAATTGATTTATGAAACCCAGTGTCCTCTGTGATTTCTGGTTATTAATTGATTATTTAAAAAACCTCTATTTCTGACATAGCTATAACT